TCCTTATTGGTTCTTCTGGAAGGTCTTATGTACCATAAATGTAAAATAAGAGAAAAATAATAATATAATAAATGTTACGCACGTTTAATAATAATGTCCTGTTTCTCAAATAAGTATAAAGATAATAAACACAATAATTAATAATAAATGATTAATAATATTCCAGAAAAGTCCTATGATATTCTGGGAGGTTATGGGGTGTTTCACAAGGTTCCAAGAAGTTCTGGGATGTTCCACAGTATTCCGTGGTATTCCAGGATGTCCCAGGAGTTTCTGGTCACATAGCATGAGACGCAGTAAAAGCGGAAAAATTGTTATAATGTATAATTAAATTAATTGAAAATTTTTTAATTAATAATAAAAATATAATTATATTTTGTTTTTAATTATATTTATAATCAATTAAATTTTATTAATAAATTTTTATGAAACATCTTGAGCAGATGAATTACTATGAATTAATAGATCTAATCTAAACATAACCATTTGCTCTTTAATCAATATTGCAAAAACTTTAAAAGATTTTTTGATCTTTTTTTTTAAAAAAAAAAAAAAACAATTAAATTTAATTATTATATTAATAAATATAATACGTATATCTACTGTATATACTGTATATCTATAATTAAAATACTTTTTTTGGATATTATACAGAAATACATTTTTGATATCATTTTTGATATTAAATTAGCAAGATTTGTCAGCAATTGTAAATGCAACTCATCAAGATAAGATCAGAAAAATCAAATATTGGTGTTAAAAAGATAAAGATATACAGATCCATTTAGTGTCTTGAGCGATCGGAATTCTATATGTTATCATAAACACATCCATCGCTAAATAAGGCTTTAATCTTGAAATGCATCCAGTCTTGCACTTGTTAACCTTCTTCCTTGAACTATACTAGAACCCTTTGTACCGCTGGTATCCTTCTCTCCTATGGTCGTATTCATTCCTTGAGATTACGAGAAAAAGTTAACTATCGTTTTAGTTAAATATTTATGCGCGCAATTTTACTTGGAATACTATCTAATCCAGAAATATTCGAACTAACTCAAGCTATATAATTCCATTTCTATTTACGGTATGTGTCCTGGACGCGTCTAACTCATTCTCGTTCATTTTCCCAATTTTTCCGCGACGTGTCACCATGTCGCATACCCACTTCCACAATATTTTCACTTGTATAATTCCGGATGACTGGATAATATACAGAATATACTATATATACAGTATATATAATCAATTAATGTTTATGTGAACGTGACATGTTAAATATATGGCCTTGAACAATTCTTGAATCAATGTAATGCTTGCGGACCAAATGAGATGAGATTACTTATGTTATTTTGAATGAACCGTAAGATAAAAAAAGCACGCATGATATACAGTACAATAGATAAAAGAATAAATTTTATAAATTTACATATGCTTTGATTTTTTACGTAGATACAGTGCAATATTCAGAAAATCCATGCTTAATAATTATTAATCTCGAGCTTACGAGGATTTGGGAGATTGTCGAACTTGTTGCCATCACACAGTAAACAGATAAATTTTCGTTTACTACTAATGCGTGTCACCAAGATCGTTCGTAAACATAATTAGAATTGCCATTGAAAAGGCAAAGCAATTATTTATTTATTTTGTTTCGAATTTTACCTTTTTAGGGGGAGGGGTTTGTTTCAGTGAACGAAAAAGTAAATTAATCTACTCGGGTCTTATCACACTAAGATTAACCTTGCTTTTATCTAACTTTTCATTAGACGTTCACTATGAAATAAGGAACTCGCCCTAACCATAAGAAATATGGTCAGCATGATACAACAAGGATAACTGATGTTCACCACATTCTTGAATGTACTTCCGTTTGAGCTACTTAACACCTGGGCTTTCAGGACTTCTTTCACCGGTGCAAATAAGGTTTTGTTTTCTTTATCAGGATTACTTTTAATCGTTAAAGGTCCCGTGATTCCAAAAGCGGTACGCATGTGATCGTCAATCATCGCCTCCGTTTCAATTCGGATATAAAATAATGACGTATTCTTGATAGCTGAACTGCCAAATCCATCGTCCTGTTGAATTAACGGCACGGTCCACAAAAATTCGTTTGAAATCACGTTCGAAGTAATCGGTTGTGACCACTTTGATGTGATTTTAGGCTCGGAACCGTACGTTACTATGGAATTCCCGGATGACTTGGGGTCATTATGCAGGGTTATCAGGAAATTTGTTAATTTGTTCATGGGATCACATTCCGGGTCCGTGGACCAACGAATGTAGACGCGGTAGTAAGGTGCCAAGATTGTGTTTGGAGGTGGTGTTAAAACATTAATGCAGTGAGAATCTTCGGGTGACCATTGGGCATTTATGTCAAGTGGCTCGTCATTCTTAAGCGATTTCAGGCCCTTAAGCTTGGCCAGAATAGATGGTAAATAGATTAGACCAATGAAAAGGATGTGCAGCAGTGACATCCTTTTGATATTTATGGTCAGAACTTAGACATTGATCTTCTATTTATTTATGTTTAAATTTTAGATCTTGGGAGCAATAAATTGTTGATGGGATCATTTTAGATTATTGGTGTGATGGATGTTGATCCAGTTGACCGATGTTTTTTTAATCAGATTAAAATACGTATACAGTAAATGCATCACGTCGACCCTGTGACGGTGTAATATTAATAATAATTAAATCTATTATTTTTTGATATTAATTTTACTGATTGTTATTTTTAATAATAGTAATTATTTTGAATTACATTATTACACCATTTTTGATTAAGAAAAAAGATCCAGTTAGTTCAGAGAAACAGCAAGTACCTCAGGCAGAAATAACTAGACCACGAACTCATCAGAAACATTGGGTCAGGTCTTAACTGGAAATGCAAGTGCTTCATATACATTTTGGAATGATCGTACCAAGGAGATATCGAGGATCGACTCTGCAAATTTACGTACGAACTTGTCGAATGAATTCTTGGCAAGAACAGTACAAAGATCAAAGATCGTGATCGTGGTACTCTGTTTGGACGTCAATGTTGATGACACAGAATTCGGTGAACTTGCCGAGAACCTATTATCAATCGTTACTATCTTCACGGCAAGACGGAAAATCGAAAACGACAAAGAGAGATTAAAAACATGAAAGATACATATTTACCCAACACCCGAAGAAGAGAAAAGCTGAGAAAATGGATGGGAACTATGAGATAGATGCACAATAAGGTTCTTAAGATGGACATGAGCGTCAACGAAAGCACTACCTATATGATGAGTACTTCACAATCGAAGAACTCCTCTGGGTAAAAGACCCCTAGGGAAGTACGTTCGTACACATATGGTCACATACAAAACAAACAAGAAGTCGCATGGAAATAATTTTCAAATGAAATACCACAAACCATCTCGATTCTTGCTAGGGATTGGAATAGGAACAGAGGGAAATACGCATTCCTAAAAATAGATATTAACAATACAGTTAATATAACCATGAATCATCTGGGATATTTTTACTTGTGTTTCCGTTTCTTGGTAATGACAAAGGTTTTGCTTTGGGAAGAACAAACAAACAAGAGAAAGAGATTCCGATTGAGAAAAAAGATGCTATGAATCATACAACGAATCTGTAATCTAATCGATGTGTGTCATCATATCAGTTGGCCCGTTGGTTATGTCAGAATTACGAGATCTGGTTTTGAAGAACAAGCGAAGGATTCGGTCAGAGACGACTGCTCGTGCAATGCTAACTTGGTGACAGTTTAGGTTTCCATCATAAGTCGAAGGAGTTGAGAGGTTGCAAGGTCATTGAATGCACCGAAGAGTATACATCCATCAAAGACATGTGAGTGGATTAAAAACGTTTAACGTGGTGGAGATGGATCGGGACGCGAATGGAGCCAGAAATATATTTTCAGGTTTTAGCCTGACTTTGGGACTTGAACCTATATGGGATACAATATGCATAGTAAAGACTAGCTTTATTTATTTATTCAAGTTTAACTATTGTCTTTTTTCACAATATCAGACCAATCCATGTTGATCGAGTATATGTTTTATTTGCCGTAATGTATTATTTATATATATATTAAAGGCTCTATTAAAAGGAATTCTATTGGTTATTGTTCTTTTTTATAAATGTATGTACGTGATAAAATTTGATGTCGAAACGTGTAATATATTAATATGTGTATTACTATATATGCGTAAAGTCTTTTTCGTTCATACGGGTCTACCAAAAACCTTTTTTCCCTTCCTTTAACTTTTACGCTTCCCAAACGGATTTTTTAATTCCTTTACACTCTTGCGGTGTCTTATCACCGGTGTGTTTGTACTCGTGCTCGTGCTCGTATTCTCATTCATTGCCAACGACATCGTTTTATCTATCAGGCTGTCGTGAGTTGACGTGTTTTTCTCTTCAACCTCGCTTAGGCTGAGCCCCAACCCGGTGATAAAGACTCCGTTCGCACCAAGCATACTCACGTAATCACTTTCCCATGTTACATCTTCGGTCATTGGCATTCTTCCTCCAATGTCGTCCTCGTCAACCTCTCCCGTGTTACCATTGAATTCATTAACGTCGTTATACATTTCATCATTCGTGTGATTGTGACGGTTACGATGGTAATGATGATTAATATGTTTACTGAAGTGGTTCTTAAACTTTCGTCCCCTTCCGGAATAATTGTTGATGTCAATCTCCAATAACGTTCTGATGAACTCGTAAATCATGGTCCTGATAAGTTCGTGACGTTTCTGAGAGATCGATGAGGTTGACGAGGGAATGGGCGACGTCGGGGGGGAAGGGACAAGTCTTGATGAATGATCCTTTTCTTTGTTATAATGGCTGATGATAGAAGATTTCGATCTGAGGGGAGGATGGGTTGGCGTAGATGAATTGGATTGATTCTGACGGTTGAGGAACTTGAAAAGTAAAAAGATGGCAGAATCGCGAGCTTTTGGTGAGTAGTGGGTCGTGGTCTCGCCTAAATCGAAGGGGGGAGTGAGGCGTTAGCGAATTCATATTTTGATTGGTGGTACATATGTACAACATAATTTTATGCAACACCTACCGATCTCCTGCTTCATAATGTCTGCAATGTCGCTCCTGATAAATCGGGCGAAACTACATTCTAACAACAAGAATATTGCTCGCTTTGCTTCGTCAAAGCAATGACGAGGGTCACGTTGACTTTTGATGGAGGCCACAACAGATTTGCGAACTTTGTCATCGACGTTGACCTCGAATTGGGAATTTCGGGTCAAATAAGTATCATAAATGTGTTGTGCGGTGGCATATTGTTGCGAGGAGTGAGCATAGTCACTGGATTCATATTGTTCAACCTCGAGGAAGAAGAACTGTGAAAGGGGTGCAGAGGGTGCATGAGTACATGAGGATGAGGAAATGTGAGAGAAAACACACAATTTCGTTAACGAAAGCTCACCAAATTCTCACAAGAGTATTCTTCCAACAATGAATACAAAAAGTAGCACAACGGGATTTTCGAATGTAACATTGCCTTCAACCCTTCCTTCTCGATCTCTTTCACACAGATATCGAGTGGCGGCTTGTCGCCAAAAAAATTCATTAATTTTCGTGAAGATAACTTGGTTCGTTTCTTGTATAGATTGTGATGATCGTAATTGGCAGAAGGTATTAACGGACGTTGCGGAGAGAACGAGGGAATAGGCTGAGATAATGATCGAGAGTGCGTGGCTCCCGGCAGTGAACCATCGTATTTACTGCCACTGTTCGAGTTCACGTACGCATTTTTTCCTATCGTCTGATGGCGAGGAGCGGAACGAGAAAATTGGGAGAATGTACGATTGTGGGTTGGAAGATGATCGTTACTGGTAAAATGAAAGTCTTCAACCGGAAACATATCATCCTCTTCCCCTTCAAGTGAGAAGGGTGATGATGATGATGGTAAAGAGTTGAAGACCACGGGATCATCGGTATCCATTGGTAATGAAATTTGCGTTGTGTGGGTGGTAATGGTGGTGGTTGATGTTTGGTAGGAGTTATTGAAGTCTGATGAATTGGTTGCGCTGGGTATGGTACATGTGGTTGTTATTATTGTCGAAGAATCAATCGTGGCAATAGAATTTCGCCGAGAATTTGATTGCAGAGTCTCGATGGAAACCGCTGATCCGCGACGTTTGGATATCATGTTGGGCGTCTTTGCTGCCAGCAGTAATTTTGTCTTGTCATCTTCCAAGGACGAAACACTTCCGGTACTGTGAATTTCTATGACCGAGGAACGGCGCCGGAAGGTGTTTGTTCTTGGGAGAGACATTTTCTAAGATTCCTTTTTTGAGGGTGAAGGCGATATGGAGATATGAACGATGCGAATTGTGTGGAAGTATGATACAAGTGCGTGATGACTATATATGATTACAATAATGAATGTGAAAGGGAAGAAGAAATATATGCCCGGTATATTTTTTCTAGAAGGAAAACTTGAAGGGGGATTAATATTTTATCAAAAAATATTCCACATCCAAGTGATTTTTGACGGAATCCAATTATTTTTTATACAAAAAAGAAGTAAATTATACAATCGTCTTTGTGCAGTGAAGTACACAGGAATGCTCCTTTCGGTTTTGGTTTCAGCGCCCTATTACGCTTCCTTTTTGTTGTAACGTTTGCGTTTTTTCTAAAACGTCCTTTTTTTTTGCGCCTTGCTGGAAGGGTTAAGAAGGGAAAAAAATAAATGAAGGATGACTGAGGTAATATATATAAATTTTTTTTTGGTATATTTGTATTGTAAAAAAAGAGGTTTGTTGTGCAGAACGCCTAATTAATTTATGCAGACCTTTTTTTAACTTATATGATGCGCATAAAGGATCGTTGTTGAGGATACACAAGAATAAATCAGATATTGACAAAAAATCCGAGTCTAGTTTAAATAAAATATTTTTCTTACTTTTGAGGAAAGGCTCAAGACGGAGAGACACTCGTTACGGAAATTGGCGTGAGTGCATTTACCTCGATACATTAATTGACCTTTAACATTTCGCGACATTATGATGGATGATGCGCCTTAATGTAATAAGATCGGAGGCGTCTTATTTCCGTGAGGATGAATTTGACGTTTCAGGTTTGAGTAACTGTTACCATGTCTTATTTATAGAACGAGATTTCTTTAGTTAGGTTGCTACATGACAACCTGCGTCAAATAAGGGTGGGGATCACGCAAATTGAGATGAAATGCCAAAGATGTCAAAATGAAAATCTTTATTACACGTATGAGATTTGCCCGTCGTATCTTCAAAATTGCTCGTTTGCACATGCATGCAATCCCCTCCTCTACTCTGCGCAGCTTCTTTTAAAATATAGAAACACCGCGCACACACACAACACACAACACACAACACACAACACACACACACACGCACACGCACACACGCACACGCACACGCACACACGCACGCACACACACACACGTTTGGTAACTAGCGATTATTTCATCGATCTGGAATTATTATACCGACAACACCTGTTCTATTTGTTCTCTCTCTCAAAAAGGTCGTACAATGGACGAGCGATCTCATCTTGTGTTGCTTTGTTACACCAGACATATGAAACCTGGACAGACCACGCGAGATTAATAAAATCAAAACGGTGTTCTTAAAATAGAAAAACGTTACGGGTAAGGTACAAGTTGAAGATCAATAATCATTGCCAGAATAGGCGTTGAAATGATTGAAGAAATTTCTCTATTTACAACTAGGCGCTAATTAAATTAAAAGGTCATGACATTCAATGTCATATGAAGGAAAAATGAATCGCATTTACGTTGTGTGACAATTATTGTTAAAAAAAAAAAAGGAATCGTAAAGTGCTAAAGAAAGGCGCTCATTACCTCCATCACGTCATCATCCTGTTGTTTAAACCAAAATGTATTTAATGCATTCGTTGTGTTGTGGCATAAATCATGCGTTCAAAGAGCTCAAAGGTTCTTTGTTCCTTTTCTCCTTTTTCCCATTGTGTAACAAACACATCCTTTGAAAAACGGAATTGCAAATTAAAACATGTTACCTTAAAATTCTTAAGGGATAATCTTTAGATTATATCGATTCTGTGCGTGTGTTACTGTCCTGCGAAAAAAGAAGAAAAAGGGTCGAGCTAATTATTTGAACCGTCAAACGGTCCAATGAAAAATTCGGAATCTCATCTTTGTCGTAGATCTCAACTTTCGTTATTGTTATTATTGCGATGGCAAATAATACGTCCATTGATCCAATGTTCCTTTTGAATAACAGAAGCGAGGAGATAATGACTACTAGTAACGATTATTAGTGATGTGTTACAATCCATCCGCCAAATTTTCGGATATTAGACAATAAGCGCCAAGCAAGAAGTCGTTGTGGGTACATTCATTATTCATACAACTGTGGATTTAAATATAATTGAAATCCGCAGTCGTACGAATGCTTTGTTCCCACGATTGTACGGATTGTACGGGAACCTTCTTTTTCCTGGTCATATGTATCAATCCATCTTCGATATGTGTTTGTTACCTACTGTACAGTATACACTTATACAAATTAAAAGATGACATATTTGGGTTTTCATGATACAGTGTTAAAGTAATCGGCCCGGACAAGTTGGACACATTTATATTGCATAAAGAAAAAAAGAAAAAAACACAGATGTCCACAATTTAATAATGTGATGTCCGAGAAACATGCAATGTGACAAGAATTAAACTATGAATGTTATTCAAGGGTCCTTTCTAATTCCCTCTCTTGACACCTCAAACGTCACCTCAATCACCTCTTGGGATGTCCTGAATTGTAAACACAATGTAGCACCACCGTTACCATGATGAATCCCATGACTTTTGGCGCGCAAAATGTTGGGCCTCCATATTACCCAAACTGGCTGCTTTCAAAATTAACCTCTTTGATTCTTCCTCATCCTTTTTCAATCCCCCGCATCCTTTGTTATAACATACTCCTAAATGATACATTCCGTATGGTATACCCTTTTCCACTGCCATCGTGAACAATTTCACCGCCTTGATTCGATCCTTGGGTAACCCTTGACCTTTCAAGTACATATATCCCAACATGTCGATCGCATCACCATCTCCCCCTTCCACGGCCCGCTCAAGATACTGCACTGCCTTTTGAACGTCTACATTCACTCCTCTCCCATAATAATAATATTCACCCAGTCGGAATAGTGCACGCGGGGATTCTTCTTGAACCTTTTCAAATTCCACACGTGCCCTAGCGTAATCACGTATCTGATGATAATTCTCGGCGATCTTTATTATTTCTTGCGGTGATGTCGCCATATCTTCCTCGTCAGAGATGTCCGAGAGTGATAGGTCGCGCGATGTCACCACTTTTAACAGGTTGTCATCCTCTTCCTTCACCATCTTATTCACTTCAAAATGGGCCCCACCATTATTCTCGTGTATGGGTTCAAAGGTTGTTACGTTTTCCAACTCTTCCGGCCTGATAGCTTCCAAATGTTCGATTATTTCACTGGTGGTGAATCGTTGTTTTGGTGCCGTCTTCGTACAATTGGTGTAGATGGTCGAGATGGCGGGTGGAGTGTGAAGTGACAGTGTCAACTTTCTTCCTTCTTCGCTTCGATATTTGTAGACGAGATCCAATTGTAATCCCTGCCACGGAAATTCCTCGGTTACGATTTCATAGAATACCACGCCATATGAAAACACATCACACTCCTCGGTGAATGTCGCCGGATCATCACCAAGGCGCTCTGGGGCGGTCCATCGAATTTGCTCTTCAAACGAATCTATCAATCCCAAGCTACCACCATTGGTCCATCTTGACTTACGGAAGTTGGTGATCTTCGCTTGAAAGTGACCGTCCAACAAAATATTCGCACTATTTATGTATTTATGTAAGATGCCTGCCTTATGAAGGAACTCCATACCTAAGTGAAATAATTGGATCGATCGATCGTTCATTTAGTTGAGAACAGGTTGAATGGCTCTGACAGAGTTGAAAACATACCTAGAGCTACGCCCAAAGAGATTTGACGTTTTCTACCCCAATTATCTTTCAACGACCCGGCGGCAATGAAAGATCGCAAATCTCCGTTCTCGCAATATTCCAACACCAACGACATGTTATTTCTCAACGACGTGATCCCAATGAGATCAATGATATTCGGGCAAGGTGCCAATTTTTGCAGGTACGCCACCTCTAACGCAAACTTAGACTCTTCCTCCGGCACCGACTCCCTAGCCATCGTGACCTTAATCACCACTTTGGCGTCCTTTGGTTTCCGGTTGGAATCCGTCGTGTGATAGATGGCCGTGAACAATCGATCGGTCTTGAGGTGTTTAAAGTCCGACAATTCGGCTAAGGAAATCCTGGTGCCACTCAGCACCGATTGCGAAGGTGCGCTCGTTGATTTTTTATATCCCCGAATCTCCTCCAAAGATTCTTTTACCATGGTGTTCAACTTTGCAAAGGCAACCTTATCCTCCTCGTGCCATGTCTTATGTGCTTCTTCCAATTCTTGACTTTCCACAAAATGCCTGATGCTAATCGCAAAGTTCAGCCGATGACACGCTTGATCCAACCGGTCTTCGATGTCTTGAAATTCGGCCGCAAATTTTCTGGCGTAAAAAATTTTTAGGCCATATTTTGCTTCCGCATGCTGTTTCACAACCGCACGCGCATCCTCCAACACTATGGAAAACGCTTTCAGTGCTGACGCGAAACTCTTGTCCTCAATTTCCTTGGGTGTTTCGGCTAATTTGTTAAGTAATTCCTTGGCGCTGTCACGAGCAATTTTGGCCTGCTCGCTTAGACGTTTGCACTCGGCCTTGCAATGCTTAGCAGAGTACGCGAACGATACAATGTCATCTACCAACAAGGAAATGTTACCGGTGAGCACGCCAATTGCAACGTGGCTAAGAATCTTTCCAATCTCGAAAACTCCCTCGATATACGTTGGCAGATTGACTGATTCAACTGTATCGAACAGCTTGTCGACTATCACATCATTTACAAATTCCATTGAATTCGTTAAATCTTACAATTTGAAGTGGGAAGTGAGGAGTAATGTACCAAGATGATAAAAATGACATAATATATCAGTCATTGTGTTACCGTCGTCGCGTTATGCCTTTTTTAACATAAATTTTTTGCCAACACCCAAATTTGTATTGATTTATGCATTCACACGCATACATTCACAAACTAACAATTAAGGACTTATTATCGCGTGTCAACTTGTAAAAAGAAACACGTCAAGTATCCCTTTATTATCAAGGTACTCAAGAGATAAAGATATAATTACAAAAAATAAGAATTACGTTCGTTCAATTAAATTTAGTCACATAAAATATCTGATTTGTAGAGAAGATTACGACGACTTTCCCTCCGGTAGTTCCTCACTTTTAGAGAGCTTTGATGAGCGGATCATTTGGATTGTTTTCATCAGGCTAAAAAGTGAAAATAAAGAAAAAAAAATATTAGGACCTAATTATAAATCCCAATAGAAATCGATTATTCTTTTAAAAATATATATACCAATTCGTTGGAATGGTATCTATGAATCACTTTTCCGTCCACGACCAGGAATTTTTCGAAATTCCATTTAATTTCAAATTTTGCACTTTCGTTTTCTTCAGGTATTTTATTTTTATTTACACGTTTTATATCAGAATCTTTAAGGAACTTATAAAGGTCCGAAGCGTTTTCTCCGTTGACTTCAACCTTTGCGAACAACGGGAAGGGTGGTTCGGATCGTTTAGTATACTCGCACGCAAAGCTTTTGATTTCTATGGGGACAAAGGTGAATAAGAACTTATCCGTGACAATTACTTGAAGTTTTCCAACTTACCTTGTTCAGTTCCGGGTTCTTGACTACCAAATTGGTTACAGGGGAATCCAAGGACCACTAGATTTTTCTTGCTATACTTTTCTTGGAGGCTTCCTAAATTATTATATTGAGAAGTGAAACCACATTTTGAAGCCACGTTTACGATCAATAGAATTTTCCCTTTATATTGACTAAGTTTAACGGGTTCCTTTTCAATATTGAGGACTTCGATGTCATAGAAAGTCATTTTTACTGTTGTTGAAGCAAAAGGTGTGTGGGAGTTTGACTGAAAAGAAAATCTGGTGCCGTTTTTATAACGTTCAGTTGATATTGTGCACTGAATTTGACAGCAAAGAGGAAAGATTGTAAATATTCGACGCACAATAATTTATGCACTTAAATTTATTTTCTTATCAATTTTCCCAGGTCAATGTCTTTTGGGGGAACGATTGTCTCGGTAATAAATTATACTTGAAGGAAAAACTTCCGCATCAAACAATAGTATGATATATTATTATACTTAAAGTGCACTTTTCATTTCTAATTATGTATAAAGTCATATATGTATCACTAATCCAAAGAGACGATGTTATTTTAGAATAAACGTTAAAAAAAAATAAAGCTTGCGTTAATGCATCTGTTATTAATAAATGAATATAACAGGTCTGATCTGCAATAACCGAGTTAACAATTCCCATTCGATTGGATTTTATAATTGTTCTAAATTTTGCATTATACCTCCACAATGTTTTGTTTTATAACAATACAGTGTAACAAGTTATGCTGTTATCGAAGACAATATTTAATTTAAGATACACAGTGGGTGAATAGGATTAGCGTTTTATTTTTTTCAACTTTGTCGAGATTTAAACTGTGATTATACATCAAATATTATAATAAATTTTTTTTTATTTTTTTTTTGATGTTAAGGTGAGACACTTCTCATAATCTTTATTGATAAAGTAAATATATAATGTTACATGATCAATATTAAGATATGAGATATATGACTATACATATCAGTCTACCACCTATTGTAGTAGATATATTTTCAAAAAACCTTGAGCAAACAAAAAAAGAAAAAAACTATCTACTAAGAAAAATAAAAAATAAAAAAATATTTGAAGCAAGATTGCCATTTAATAAAAGAAAAAAAAGTAGAAAAGAAGAGATGTCAGAAAAATATTGAAGCTTTTGTTAAATGTGGTTTCTGAATGCAAATAAATGTTTTAGTCAAATAACAATATCGCACAAGCCACATATAACTTGATGGGTTTGATTAGATGATTTTTGTGATATGTTGCTATTATATAATGTAACTGTGTTGTAGTGTTATAGTGGAATAACTAGAATATGTTCCAGATGTTTATTGTTTTGTTGTGATGGGTTATTGTGTATTATGATTACTGGAACTCACGCAGGGTACTGATTACATGCTCTCCCAATCCAATAAGTTGTTATGTTGTTTTAATGTGATTTGATGATACAAAATGTCATTGGTATTTTATGTGTTGCAAATCTTTTGGTGGGGTAAGCTGATTTTGGTTTTTTTGTATGTGAAGATAAACGAGGACTAACAACTAGCCAGAAGATTATGCCAATTAACTTGGCACTAGTTATCATCAGCAAAAAACAAAAACTCTGAAAAAATAAAATACTGCTTTTTGAAGAGAAGATTGTGTTTGGTTTTGTATATGTTTTTTGTGATGTGATAGATAGTAATGTATATGAATATGGTAAAAAGATTTTTCTTTGTTTGGAGATTGTTTATATAGGTTTCACTTAGTAAAGCAAAGGGTTTAATCGAAGAGGTTTTTGCTACTTTCAAAGCATCCATCCCTCTATAGAGAGTTAATCGACCCCTTATACCTTGCAGAAAATTAAGATAAACTTCTCTCCTAAGAAGAGGTTCTTGCTTGCTATTTACTGTCTACCATTCATGTCATTATCAAAAAAGAAAAAAATTTATGAATTAAAGAGTTGTGGGAAAGAGTTTTTTTTGTTATTTATTTAATTCAATAAAAAAAAAGAGCATCTATATATCTATACAAAAAAAAAAAACTCTTTTCCACAACATATCCAATTCCAAAAAAATGTCTTTTTTAGTAATACAACAGGAAAGCAAAAAATTTACTTTTTCATGGCCTCTCAAAGAAAGGTTACTATCTGAAGTCAGTCAAAGAAAATCTCCAATCTTCTTTTTCAAGTCTAAACTGATCCAAAACCTGCAAATTTCAACTCAATCCTAATAGGAGAGACTATATCTGTTACAATGCAAGAACATATTTCAACTATGGACCTTGATAATCAAAAGGAAAAAAAAAATGATACACCAATGACAGTTGTATTCTCCAACTTCAATATTACTTCAGGCTTTGCTTTAAACAGTGAAGATGACAATGGTTGAATCCAAATCAACTGAAAAAATAAAAGAAAAAACAATGTAGTAGAGAAACCTTTTAACAATGAAACCATTATCACAGGATCCAAAAGCTGCACTTCACTTTTACCTTCAATTGACTGAAGTAAAGAATATAGAAAATAGTATTACAAAATATAAACATATCTAGCAAATCTTTTAGGAGAAACAATATAACAAAAAATCAACAATCTTAGACAAATTTTTTCTTGCTTGGAATTCTTTAAAGGAATATGCATTATTATATAAAATGATATCAAAATGATAGTCATAATATTTGTTTCAGAAAATGATATAAAAAAAACTTCAAATATTACAATATACAAATTACTATAGAACAAAAAAAAAAACTCTTTCCCACAACTCTTCAATTCGTAAAAAATTTCCTTTTTTGGTAATGGCATAAATGGTAGACAGTAAACAGCGAGCGAGAACCTCTTCCTGGGAGAGAAGTTCATCTTAGCTTTTTGCAGGGTGCAAGGGGTTGATTAACTCTCCATAGAGGGGTGAATGCTTTGGGAGTGACAAAAACCTCTTCGATTAAACTCTTTGCTTTACTGAGTGAAACCTATGTAAGCAACCTTCAAACAAAGGAAAACCTTTTTACCGTATTCACACACATTACTACCTATCACCACAAAAAACACACACAAAATCAAATACAATCTTTTCCTCAAGAGGCAGCATTTTATTTTTTTAGAGTTTTTGTTTTCTGCTGATGATAATTAGTGCCAGGTTAATTGACATAACCTTCTGGCTAGTTGTCAGTTCTCGTCTACCTCTATACACAAAAAAACTGAAATCAGCTTACCCTACCAAAAGATCTGCAACACATAAAACACCAATAACATTCTGTATCACTAAATCACATCAAAACAACACAACAACTTACCGGATTTTGGGAGCACATAATCAGTGCCCTGCGCGGGTTCCAGTAATCACAATACACAATGACCCATTACAACAAAACAACAAACATCTGGAACGTATTCCAGTTATCCTAATATAACACTACAACACAATCATATCACATAACAGCAACATATCACAAAAATCACCTAATCAAACCCATCGAGTTATATGTGGCTTGCGTGATGCCGTCATCTGACTGAAACATCTATTTGTGTTCAGGAATCACATTTAATAAAAGCTTCAATATTTTTCCGATATCTCTTCTTTTCTACTTTTTTTTCTTTTACTAAATAGCGATCTTGCCCCAAATGTTTTTTTATTTTTTATTTTTCTTAGTAGATAGTTCCTTTCTTTTTTTGTCTGCTCAAGATTTTTTAAAAATATATCTACTACAATAGGTGGTAGACCAATATGTATAGCCATATATCTCATATCTTAATATTGATCATGTAACATTACATATTTACTCTATCAATAAAGATCATGAGAAATGTCTCACCTTAACCCCCCCCAAAAAAAAACAAATTACTATAGAACCTACTGCCTTAATTAATCCAATTTTGGTCAAAGGAAAAACAATCAGAGCATGGAACATATTTCTGTATACAACAAAAGTACAAATTACAAAAGCTTTTTTCAAATTAAAACAAATCAAGAATATTATACTAACTATAAATAAAATATGGCAATCAGTTAACATTGAGTTCATTAATTAAGAAGAATATGTTCAAGCAATATAAAAATAGTCTTACTTTTTTTTGACTAACTTAATCAGAATCTTTTCATACCTAAACATCAATAAAATCAAAGCATAATATAATCAATATATCTTTAAGTTATATAATCTTCCATCAGATACAACAGGTTATGATCTAAAACAAATACTTATAGATACTTATGTACAAACATGCTATATCTTTTACATAAAAAACTATTTTCATAAGAGATTTGCAATAATTAGCTTTAAATCAAAAGAACACAAAAAAACTCCCAAAAACTACTATACAATACAAGGAAATACACAATTAACATGACATAAAATAACAGACAAACTCTGTGCAATATGTCTTAACACAAATTATTTAGTTAAAGATTGCAAGAAATGAATTACACAAAAAGAAAGACTCAAAACCAAACAAACTAATATTAAAAAATATTAATATCTATATAGCAGATATAAGCTGGCAGGCATATTAACTATCCAAAAATTTCTTAGCAACATCAAATACTTTTAGCAAAATTCTTTGCACAAGCTATCAAAAATACTTAACTATAGACTAAAAACAATCCTACAAATTAACATACAAATCCAATAGCATATATCAATACTCAAGATATAAACACATCCTTAAATACAATATTATATACAATTCATTAACTAGGGAAAGAAATTAAAACAATTAAATCTACTCTTACAAATATAAATAACAGATTCAGCCATATTGAAAAAGATACCTATTGGGCTCATACTTCTTAAAATAAACAAGATGCAGAATTTATTGAATATGAAATGAATTGCAACATAATATTTAAATTTCAAATTATTACATTAAAAGATATATTCTTCAACTATTACAAAAAAAGACTAGCAACAAGCCCAATCCAAGACCTGTATAAGGAACAACAATAATTATATTTAAGAAATGTAACAATAAGTGATACTTTTTAACAAATCTCAATATTCTTTAACCTGTCTGCAGAAGGAAACAATACACAATTACAAATATAACCAGAAAAGTTACAACAAAATTCTAATTAAACAACTCAATGAATTTATCTTCTACAACTCCACAACATCATAATCTCTTAGAATTATCACAAATACAATATAACTTAAATAACTTAATACAATTTTGACATATAATTATCACTAATGTAAGAGAACTCAAATTCAATTCAAGCAAAACTCTTTATTG